TACTGGATCCGGGTGACTGCAGTGACCATCTGGTCTGAATACGTACTGGATCCGGGTGACTGCAGTGACCATCTGGTCTGAATACGTACTGGATCCGGGTGACTGCAGTGACCATCTGATCTGGATACAGACTGGATCTGGTGGCTACGGTGACCTCGGAATAAGAGAGAAACGGATTAATATTAGCGTAGATGCCAGTCTTCTAGTGATGTAGCAAGTACATATTTAAGCCTACTTGTTGTTGTATGTTATACAGATGTCGTCCAGTATCAGTTATGTCCCGGTATTCCTGCCATATTTTGTTTGTATGTCCCTTAATAATGGTTTTGATTTCTGTTCTACATAACGGTATTTGTATATCAACTGTTTCATGCTTTATTGCTCCTCTTGCCAGAATATCTACAATCTCCTTTCCTTCCAGCGCTACATGAGCAGGAACCCAAAGGAAGGAAACATCCAGCTCTTTAGCATACAGTATTAAAGGCAAGTTGAATATCTGGTATATGATATCTTGTCTACATGACTGAATACTAGATAGAGCAGATAAGCTGTCAGAAGCTATGATTACATTTTGATTCTGTTTATTTCCTTGCAGCCACTGTAATGCCAATAAAATTGCTAAAAGCTCTACTGTGTACACCGATAAATGATCTGCTGTTCTTTTTCTAACTGCTGTTTCATAATGCGAAATGAAGAAAGCAGCCCTAGTACGGCCTGTCCCTGGCTGCTTTGATCCATCTGTAAATATGAATAGTTTGTCTTGATAAAGGTCCATGTAATTTTGAACTATTACCCTCTGTGGCATTATTTTAGATTTTTCTTTTAACATTTATTGAAGGCTTATATCTAGAGATGGCTTTATGAATTTCCAAGGTGGTACAGTTGATGGTGCCACAATGGGGCTTACTTGGAGCTGGCTGAGGCTTGCGTTTTGTGCTTTTGCATTTCCTATCCATCCAAAACTGTAATAATTACTTTTACTATGTTCTGAACAATCTTGTAAGATGGCCTTCGTGGGATGTACTCCGCTATGCCCTTGTAGATCTACCCAATACGCCAGCATGATCCTGATCCTCCTAATACGTAAAGGCATCTCTCCTGTCTCAACTTGTAATGCAGATACTGGTGATGATTTAAACGCTCTAGTACAAATCCGAAGTGCCTGTGCCTGTTCCACATCAAGTTTTTTAAGGGTTGATTCTGATGCTGACATATATGCTATAGGCAACCATAATCTAACGCTGCTCTTAAAAGAGCCTGATAGATGTTAATGAGCAATGCCCTGCTTGCTCCCCAGTCTTGCCCTGATAGACATCTTAAAACAATTTTAACCTTTTTACATTTATTCCTAACCTTATCAATATGTTGACACCAGGTCAACTTCTCATCAAAAAATACTCCCATGACTCTTACAACCTTAACCTGTTGAAGATTTTGCCCATATAGTTTAAGTAATACTGTTTTAGGACATTTAGAAAAGCATATAACTTGTGATTTTGAGATTGAACGTTTAAATCCCCATTTATGTGTCCACTGTTTTACATTCCTTATTGCATTTTCCTTCTTAAATATTCAATATTCCGACCTCTAACCCAGAGTGCCCCATCGTCTGCATAAAGTGACTTGCCTATATTTCCTTCAGCCTGATCAAATATGCCATTAATCATAATATTAAATAATATTGGACTACATACACTGCCTTGTGGGATACCATTTTCCACTGTATATCTATTTGAATATTCTGTGCCTACTTTAACTTCTATTGTTCTTCTATTTAGGAAATCTAATACCCAATTATACATCTTGCCACTTATTCCTAATTTATTAAGTTTAATAAGAAGTCCGTCCTTCCACAGCATAGCGTATGCCTTTTCAATATCAATAAATACAGCAATTACATTTTCTTTATTACTTTGAGCTTTCCTAATTACTGACTCTAGGCATAGTACCGAGTCCATTGTCCCCCCTCCCTTAAGAAACCCAGAAAAGGTCCATGTAATTTTGAACTGTTATCCTCAGTGGCATTATTTTAGATTTTTCTTTTAACGTTTGTTGAAGGCTTATATCTACAGATGGCTTTATGAATTTCCAAGGTGGCACAGTTGATGGTGCCACAGTGGGGCTTACTTGGAGCTGGCTGAGGCTTGCGTTTTGTGCTTTTGCATTTCCTATCCATCCGAAACTGTAATAATGACTTTTACTATGTTCTGAACAATCTTGTAAGATGGCCTTCGTGGGATGTACTCCGCTATGCCCTTGTAGATCTACCCAATACGCCAGCATGATCCTGATCCTCCTAATACGTAAAGGCATCTCTCCTGTCTCAACTTGTAATGCAGATACTGGTGATGATTTAAACGCTCTAGTACAAATCCAAAGTGCCTGTGCCTGTTCCACATCAAGTTTTTTAAGGTTTGATTCTGATGCTGACATATATGCTAGGCAACCATAATCTAATGCTGCTCTTAAAAGACCCTGATACACTGTTGCCAACTAATTTTCA